CTGTTATCTGTCAGTCAATCAAGTTCATGTTGTTTACATCTTTGACAATACATTTCGGTGATTTGTTTACGATTATTTCTCCATTCAGCGAACATTATACACAGTGATCAAATCGCGAAAAAAAATCTGATATATGGTATATGGTTCTGCTGCATGAACTGTGTGAAATTTTTTACCTGTTTTCATAAATAAGTTGAAGACAATTTTACAGTTTACAACTCCATGGATTATTAAGGAATTTATCATGCTACTTTTAAATTTTGAGAAACCAGAAATTTTCAAGTTGATTATAAATTAAGAATAAAATCAGATTTACAAAAAACCTACATATATCAATTGAATGCTCAATTACAGAAGAAAATTTATAAAAAAAACTTACTTTTATGAAGTTTAAGTATCGTATATGCTGCAGCACACAACAATTTGTCACCTTCCAACATAAAAACATCATAGAACCTTAATGTTAGTGTAAAAGGAATCTGAAAAAAAATAATAAAAAGTTACATATAAGAGTTAATATATGCATGGTACTATAGATGTATGGTATATAAGCTAAAATGAAATGTCAAGTATTGTCTGGACAAACCTGTCAACTGACCTCTTTTTAGTAGGATTTATAGAGCTCAACCAAGATTTTCTATTCCAGCTGGACAATAAAATAACCTTGGATTTCATTAACTGATAGGTTTTCCCCTATATTCTAGTGCCATGAGTGTTTAATTGTCTAAAATGTTAGATTTTCCACTGAAATACTGCCAAATTTGAAATTTTTCAAGGACAGAGAGACAATAATTTGGTCTTACTTAAATGTTCAACAGGTTTCAAAATAATATTTTGTTACTCCTTTGATTAAAAGGTAACAATTCTCCAATTATCTTGTTCATTTTACATTTGACAGGTGAAAGACAGCCAAGTGTCCTGATAATTGTTGTTTGTAAAAATCGATAACCGTATAAAAAATCTTTGCAAAACAATTTGAAGTTCATTTATATTAAGAAGTCCCAAATCTATTTAAAACCATTAATTCCGTTTCTAGCACTTCAAAGTAAAAGCTTTCTAATCCATGTACACAAATTTGTGCACAGGACGTGTAAATCTGTTAACAACGTCTTCTTTCTATTTATCTTCCTCCTATTTATAGCAGTACATCATCTATAACTGATTTCTTGTTATAGGTTTGGTTTATAAAATTCTTTTAAGAAAATGTCATTGAAAAATTGTGGGCATTTTAGTCTTTGATACATGATTTTTTTTATTAAGTTGTTATTGGCTTTGAACTAGCTGTCAGTAAACTGTGAGTACTCATAGATCTGTACTTAGTGTCCTTTTTGTTGTTAGGGATGAGGGATGGATAAACCCCCTGCAACGTGCCGTCTGTGTTTTTGTTTGATTGTTCTGTTTTGTATGGATCTGACGAGTTATGCCTTTTTCAACTGATTTTTATAGTTTGTCTTATGTTGTGCTGTTTCACTACCCTCCCAGGTTTGGGGAAGGGTTGAGCACTCACATACATGTTAAACCCCACCACATTCTTTGTGTGCTTGTCCCAAGTCAGGAGCCTGAAGTTCAGTGGTTGTCGTCGGTTCATGTCGGTCATATTTGTTTTTTGTAAATTGTTTTGTTATAAATTTGGCCGTTAGTTTTCTCAATTGAATTATTTCATATATTTTATGTCGGGGCCTTTTATAGCTGACTATACCACTGTATACGGTATGGGTTTTTCTCATTGTTGAAGGCGGTATGGTTGCCTACAATTGCTTACATCAACTTCCTTTGAACTTTGGTGGATAGTTGTCTCGTTGGCAATCATTATTTTTATATTGATTTATTGAATATTTAAACAAATAATGAATACAATGAAGTAAAAATGAAAACACAAAATCTAAACTTTTCATTATTCTGGGTAAATAATTAACTCTTCTGAATATTCTAAAGAAACCTATATATGTTTTAAAAAAATAATCTCTAAATATTTTACATCATTTATACAATTCGCACAGTCACATAGATGCCCTACTTTACTAAGGGTTCACTGTCAGATGGGAGGAGTCCATGGTTGACCTCACATCTATAACCTAGTCAACCCTAAGGGTCACAAGCTTCAAGGAAAGACCAGTTTTTACTCCCATATTTTTTTATCTACATTTTTTAAGTGTTATTTTAAAATGACTGAATTTAAGGGAGGACAATAACTCATGACATCATTAAGTGGCCTAACTTTCATGTTTTATCCAAACTTCTGTCAGAAAGAAATCAATATTTTGGTAGCTTTTTACCATAATGAAATATGACAAGTATGAGAATCATATTTATGTTTGTTTAAATTTGTTTAATGTATTATGAACAGTCATTGTTTCAACAAATTATAAAAAAAATTATATGGTAAACACACTTGTTCATAGTTAATTTGCTGATTTTTTTTATTTATTTTTATTTTTTAGTGATATGTTGTTTTTAAAGATAATAAAAACATTTATAAATTCATAAATCTATTTACACTAATCATATTTGTCAGTGGGAATATTTACAGACACCAATAAGCCACATACCTGCCAACTTTCACGATTTAGTCGTGTACTACACGATTTTGACCCTTTGTCACCATTGCACGATCGTGATCGTGAAAAAACCTCTAAAACACGATTTTGTGAAAATCTACATGAAAAATATGATTGTTCCCGATTTTGAACTGTTAACAAGGGAAGACAATTGTGTTCAGCCAATCAAATTCTGTGTTTCTCATGATCAAATTAATAAGCCAATCAAAAATGTTTTCTCTTAAGATTATTCTAACATGCTAGATTTTGAACTTGTGTTGTATTCCTTGGTAACAAGACATTTCGGCACCCAGACAAATCGGCACCCAAGTCCGAAGACATTTCGGCATCCATTTTGGACATTTCGGGATCCGGACATTTCGGGACCAAGACAATTCGGCACCTCGCTTTTAAAAATATATATTAGGAAAAATTAAAGAATTGTTGCAGTAATATTATAATTCGTAGGTAAATTTTGCATTACAAAAAAAATAATCATCATTTAATTAAACCCTAAATGATTATGTATGTATGAATAAACATCATTTAATTAAATCATAATTGATTTTTAGATAGGTTGTTGTTTGAATAAACATTATTTAATTAAATCATAATTAATTGTATTTATGCATTAATCAGTATTTTATGTATAAATCTGATAATTCCTCAATAGAGATCAAAAGTGTATAGCTTGTGTTTCAGCTTGTGTTCTCGTTTGATCCTTACATCTGTTAAGACAACACAATACCTGAAAACTATATTTTATTGTTTTAATATTAAAAGCCATAAACATAACAGCGTGTGCAAGCCATAATGAGTAAATACCCAGAAACATATATAAGGGTAAACACTTTTGGGATTCTTTTTCTTAAACAATGTCAGACGACAGTTGTATACAGTGCCACAATGTTGTACGCCCTAGACAAGAAGCTTTACAATGTGATGGCTGTCAAAAGTGGCAACATAGAACATGCAACAGTGGTAAGTGGCTTTTTAATATTTTTAATTATTATAAATTATTATAACCCAAATTCTCCTTGCATACTTTTCATTTCCATACTGGAGCCAATCTCAGATAGAGCTAATAGCATTTGTACATAAGGGAGTAAAGGGAAACTTTTCATTATTGCCAAATAAATAGTAATATTAGAAATCCCCCTATGAATGCAATTAAAACCCATTATACCTTTTGTAACTAGCTTGACTCAAACTTTAAACTTAAAACTATTCTAGATCCCAATAAAGATCGGAATTGCGAAAATAAGGTCTACATTGGTCATTTATCTATATACTTATAATATATTTTTATAATATATTATTAATATCAACTTGACTTGTTTAACACTTTTTACATGCATTGTATGTTTCTTGTACATTATGTTTGCAATGTTTCACTTTTTGCAATAAAGTATAATATATTATATAGTTCCTGTGTATTAACAGTTATCTATTGCCATAAAGGGAAACTTTTCATTATTGCCAAATAAATAGTAATATTAGAAATCCCCCTATGAATGCAATTAAAACCCATTATACCTTTTGTAACTAGCTTGACTCAAACTTTAAACTTAAAACTATTCTAGATCCCAATAAAGATCGGAATTGCGAAAATAAGGTCTACATTGGTCATTTATCTATATACTTATAATATATTTTTATAATATATTATTAATATCAACTTGACTTGTTTAACACTTTTTACATGCATTGTATGTTTCTTGTACATTATGTTTGCAATGTTTCACTTTTTGCAATAAAGTATAATATATTATATAGTTCCTGTGTATTAACAGTTATCTATTGCCACGAGGCAGAACGAGCTAATTAACATATAATAATTGATTGGATTAGTAGCTAGATAATTGAATTAACCTGATTGTGAATTTTTAAATGTTGAAGTTCTCATGTATTAGCATTAAATTATCGTTTATTTAAGTCTCATGTATTAGCATTAAATTATCGTTTATCGTAGAAAGAGAAAACAGAAAGTGTATATTGTGTAATTTCAGATCATTGATGAAGACCCATCTATAGTAGTAGACCGTTCTTTTGACATCCCGGAGCAAGTTCAAGAAGATTCTATAGCAGATGAGTCAATAGGTGACATACCAGAAGACGACCCAACAGTCCATTACCAAACCATAGAAGAAGGCAGCAACCGGGGCAAGCGTAAGCTGTGTGACTCAGACGGCTTCAACTACACAGTTAAGGTATATATTTATTTATATTATTAAATTATGAAACATCAGATACTTTAAACATAATAAAAAATATGATGGTGAGGTATGGTTACCAATGAGACAACTCTCCACCATCGACCAAATAGCATAACAACTTTAGGTCATCGTACGTCCTTCAACAATGAGCATATCCTATACTGCATAGTCGGCTATAAGAGATTATCTGCTATTATCAACTTTGACAATTGTTAAAACAGAAACTGTATATATTTGTATTTTTGCTTGCAGAAACAGAAGAATGACCACATCCTCTGGCGCTGCACCAAGCGAAACAAGACCGTCAACTGTCCAGCTACTTAATAAGATACTTCTTCGAAGATACCATATACAATATTGATAATAATGTTGTAAATAGTGCAGGAAACAAATTAGTAATTTGTAAAAACAGTGAAACATAATTGCTATATATTAACACTTAAAACTTGCAAATTGAGTTCAGGCCCTTTATAAATATATCAGTGCCAGGAAATTTTAATTTGTGGTTCACTATATTTAGATCAAAGATAAATAATTTATAAGGTGCCGATTTGTCTAGGTGCCGATTTGTCTGGGTGCCGAATTGTCTTTCGGGGGTGCCGATTTGTCTATGTTAGGTGCCGATTTGTCCAGATGCCGATTTGTCTGGGTACCGAACTGTCTAGAATTCGTATTCCTTGTGTGTTAGTCAGAATTGTAAAATCCTAAACATGGAAGGTTAATTTTCATCTGCAAGGAGGTTCTTAAACAGCTTAAGAATAAAAGCATGACTGATTGACAAAATTCAATGATGCAGTACTACCATCAAGATAATAAATAGTAGTTTATTTACTAATTTATTGACATTTATACACTTGCAGTAACATATGTCATTTTTGTATTCAACTGATTAAATTACCAAATGGGGCAAATCATTTAAAGTACAATGTACTATACATTTTGTACTTCATTTTTCACAAGGACCAAACAAACAGGTTTGGAACAAACCCCCAAATGAGGGGTATATCCCTGAAATGAGGGACTGTCCCCAAAACATTAAGACAAGGGGTCATTTTACTCAAATTACTGTTGCAAAAAATAAAAAAAGGGAAAAATTTAGATTTTTAAACTTAAAAGTGGGAAAATTCATTATATTTGGAACAACTTTTCTAAATGAGGGGTCCAATTATTTTTAATAATAAAGAAGATAAAAATCCAGGAACATTACAAAATTCTTGGACATGTTTTGACCATATAATACCAGATAGATGTATATTTCTTTAGGAAAAGTTTCTTCAAATATTATAGATATGTGCTCATTTGTACTTAAAATTGGTTTTTAATGTCCTTACATTGAGGGGTTACCCCTCATTTGGGGTGTTGTTCCCAACCTGATAAAAGTCCTTCTTTGTGCATAATTTTTAATTTTAAACGTCAACAATCATTTAATATCCTAACACAAGAAAATAAATCCTGGTCTTCTAGCTACAGATTCATCTTTTCTACTGATATATTGATAATAACTAGAATCATGCTAATAAACTTAATAAAATGCTCCGCTGGGGCGCAGCTTGATACAACCACAGAGGTCGAACCCTGAACAGTTGGGGAAAGTATGGACACAACAATCAAGCTTGATACAGCACTGAATTTGGATTGTAATTAAATATTTGACACAGCATAGGTTTCTGACACAGAATGAATGTGGTCTAAGAACTTAAAAAAATTTAATTTACCTATTCAAACCATATCATTATTATTTGCTTTTAAATATAAATCAGAAATAACCAATTTAAAATGGAAAATTTTAAAGAAAAAAAAAAAAAAATAAATCCCCCCCCAAATTTTTTGAACCCCCTTATGATTCATCACCCCCAAACTCAATCCCAGCCTTCCCTTTGTGGTATGGTACCTTGCAGTACAATTTCAGAGAGATCCATACACTTGAACACAAGTTATTGTCTGGAAACTAGAAAAATGCTTATTTTTGGTCCCTTTTTGGCCCCTTATTCCTAAACTTTTTGGGCAATTACCCCCAAACTCAATTCCAGCTTTTCCTTTGTGATATGGAACCTTGTAGTACAAATTCATAAAGATCCATACACTTACACACAAGTTATTGTCATGAAACTAGAAAAATGCTTGTTTTTTGCCCCTTTTTGGCCCCTTATTCCTAAAATTTTGAGGCAATTACCCCCAAAATCAATCCCAGCATTCCCTTTGTGATATGGAACCTTGTGATACAATGTCAGAGAGATCCATAAACTTACACACAAGTTATTGTCATGAAACTAGAAAAATGCTTGTTTTTTGCCCCTTTTTTGCCCCTTATTCCTAAAATTTGGAGGCAATTACCCCCAAAATCAATCCCAGCATTCCCTTTGTGATATGGAACCTTGTGGTACAATGTCAGAGAGATCCATACACTTACACACAAGTTATGTCTGGAAGTTACAAAAATGCTTATTTTTGGCCCCTAATTCCTTAACTGTTGGTACCATAACCCCCCGAATCAATCCCCACCTTCCTTTTGTGGTATTGAACCTTATGGTAAAATTTCATTGAGATCCATTCACTTAAACTAAAGTTAGAGTGCGAAAAAATAATGTGTCTTCGGACAACGCCGACGACGCCGACGCCAATGTCATACCAATATATGACCACAAAAATTTTTTTGTGGTCGTATAATAAAAAGGCTTGTAAGCTCATCATACAAATATGACACTTTTTTCTAGACCACAAAACAGCACGTGCAAAATATGTCGCAAAGAATTGTCGCGGACTAAAACCCCCATGGGGGCTTTCAAAAGTTGGCAGGTATGAAGCCATAATTTTAAAATATCCGACTTTTTTCTACACATGGGGGGTAAATTGTTTACCTTTATCGTACCTCATCATTTCTTAATTTTAAGTGTTTAGGAGGAATGCCATCCCTTAAATACATTAGGTTATGGCACAACAATATAATTATACTTACCCTGTCTAGAAAACACTGCATATACCACTTTATAGTATAAAGACTTGTATAAATATCATTCTTATCCTGAAACATATTATCAATACATTAACTATTTTGAACTTCCTTACACTGTTTTATTAGTAGTTGTGGTTTTGTTATCATTGTTAAAAGCTTTCTATGGATTGATATATATTGTGAGTTCATAAATTTATCATGTATAATTTGTTCTTCCGTTGTCAAAATAGAGAAACAGGGAAAGTAGAGTATTTACAAAAATAGTAAAATACCAAGACATGTGTGACAATTCTCTATCACAGGATCCTGAGATTGTTACCGTCTCTCTATGTTTTGTATCTTTATGGAAATTTAGAGTTTAAGTCCAGTATTTTGTTGTCTATCTTATTTTTTTTTTAAACATGACTGGACGCTTCCCATTTGAGCTTGATATATGGCTTGGAGCCCTGTCATTCATTAAAAGTTGCATTTTGATCACAAGTTGTTTATTTCTAATGAAATTATTGTTGGGTTGTTGTCTCATTTATGCCGACTTCATATATCATGAAGCACAAGTTCAGTTCAACTTGGAAAGATATCATAGAAAAACAATAGGCAGTTGCAAAGCAACACGTATAACATCACATTAAAACTGATACCATTACACTTTTAATATCATTACACTCTATAAATATCATTACACTTTAATATCATTACACTTTAATATCATTTTAACACTCTATAAATATCATTACACTTTAATATCATTACACTCTATAAATATCATTACACTTTAATATCATTACACTCTATAAATGTCATTACACTTTAATATCATTACACTCTAAAGGTGGATCTTGACATTCTGATCATTTTTTTATGGTTTTCAAGATATAAAACAATTAATGCATTTTATCCTCATGTTCTAAAATGGTGGCCATGTTTGTTGATTGACGAGAATAAAAAACACAAACTTTATACATAATACCCACAGGATCATTCAACCAAGTTTGGTTAAAATTGGTTCAGTAGTTTCAGAGGAGATGATCATTGCAAAAGTATATGAGGGACACTAAAATTAGTCAAAAACCATTGTTAAAGGCTATAACTCCTTTAATAAGGGGTCATCATATTCCTTTGGTTGTATTGGCATTTTTGTACATCTTGTTTTTCTGATTATTTTTTAGGGTTACAGTTTATAAAATTCTTTATAGCTTTTCAGATAAGACAAAAACACTTAAATAGGTGTGAAAAAGGGAATAATAATGACACATTTATAAAAAGTCAATAAAGAGTGGAGTATATCAAAAATTTTCTTATTTGTTTTTTTTTTTTTGCTTCATTTCTAATTTTCTAATTTGTGTTTTTTATTTCATATCTAAAAAAATAAAACTGAAACATAATTACAGGTACAATGGAGAGAAATCCCAACCCTATATTCTTACCATATACTTCTTCAGCTTAGGTAAAAATTTCCTGAGAATATTGTCATGATGTTCCTGGAATCTTAACAACTTGGGAAAACCATGCATAAACATTCCTGCAAGAATAATTCAATTATAGTAGGTTCTGGTCAACATAAACATTCCTGCAAGAATAATTCAATTATAGTAGGTTCTGGTCAACATAAACATTCCTGCAAGAATAATTCAATTATAGTAGGTTCTGGTCAACATAAACATTCCTGCAAGAATAATTCAATTATAGTAGGTTCTGGTCAACATAAACATTCCTGCAAGAATAAATCAATTATAGTAGGTTCTGGTCAACATAAACATTCCTGCAAGAATGAAAGAACCTTAGTGAGCGCGCTCACATACCCCACGTCCCCACATTGTCATTGGATAAATAAAATAAGTGTAAGAAAAAAAAATTGTATCAGAAAAAAAAATTGAATCATAATTTCCTGTCAATATGCACATCTACATAGTATGTCCTTATTATCTACACAGTTTCATGAAATTCTGTTGTGTGGTTTGAGAGGAGTTGCGATGACAAAAGGTTGCAGTAGTATATTGGGCAAATAAGTTCAAAGGGGCGTAACTCCTGGAAAAAAAATTGAATCGTAATTTCCTGTCGATATGCACATCTACGTAGTATGTCCTTATTATCTGAAAAGGTTTCATGAAATTCTGTCGTGTGGGTTGAGAGGAGTTGCGATGATAAAAGGTTGCAGTAGTATATTAAGCAAATAAGTTCAAAGGGGCGTAACTCCTGGAAAAATAATTGAATCGTAATTTCCTGTCGATATGCACAACTAAATAGTATGTCCTTATTATCTAAAAAGGTTTCCTGAAATTCTGTTGTGTGGTTTGAGAGGAGTTGCGATGACAAGAAACAGGACTGACGGACGGAGGGACAGGTAAAAAACATACCCTCAACAACTCGTTGCGTGGGGTTTAATAATTCTATTATAGTAGGTTCTGGTCAACATAAACATTCCTGCAAGAATACTTCAATTATAGTAGGTTCTGGTCAACATAAACATTCCTGCAAGAATAAATCAATTATAGTAGGTTCTGGTTAACATAAACATTCCTGCAAGAATGAAAGAACCAAGGTGAGCGCGCTCACATACCACACGTCCCCACATTGTTATTGGAGAAATAAAATAAGTGTAAGAAAAAAAAATTGTATCAGAAAAAAAAATTGAATCATAATTTCCTGTCAATATGCACATCTACATAGTATGACCTTATAATCTACACAGTTTCATGAAATTCTGTTGTGTGGTTTGAGAGGAGTTGCGATGACAAAAGGTTGCATTAGTATATTAAGCAAATAAGTTCAAAGGGGCGTAACTCCTGGAAAAAAATTTGAATCGTAATTTCCTGTCGATATGCACATGTACGTACTATGTCCTTATTATCTGAAAAGGTTTCATGAAATTCTGTTGTGTGGTTTGAGAGGAGTTGCGATGACAAAAGGTTGCAGTAGTATATTGGGCAAATAAGTTCAAAGGGGCGTAACTCCTGGAAAAAAAATTGAATCGTAATTTTCTGTCGATATGCACATCTACGTAGTATGTCCTTATTATCTGAAAAGGTTTCATGAAATTCTGTTGTGTGGGTTGAGAGGAGTTGCGATGACAAAAGGTTGCAGTAGTGTATTGGGCAAATAAGTTCAAAAGGGCGTAACTCCTGGAAAAAAAATTGAATTGTAATTTCCTGTCGATATGCACATCTACGTAGTATGTCCTTATTATCTGAAAAGGTTTCATGAAATTCTGTTGTGTGGTTTGAGAGGAGTTGCGATGACAAAAGGTTGCAGTAGTATATTGGACAAATAAGTTCAAAGGGGCGTAACTCCTAGAAAAAAAATTGAATCGTAATTTCCTGTCGATATGCACAACTACATAGTATGTCCTTATTATCTAAAAAGGTTTCGTGAAATTCTGTTGTGTGGTTTGAGAGGAGTTGCGATGACAAGAAACAGAACTGACGGACGGAGGGACGGGTCAAAAACATACCCTCCACAACTCGTTGCGTGGGGTATAATAATTCTATTATAGTAGGTTTTGGTCAACATAAACATTCCTGCAAGAATAATTCAATGATAGTAGGTTCTGGTCAACATAAACATTCCTGCAAGAATAATTCAATTATAGTAGGTTCTGGTCAACATAAACATTCCTGCAAGAATAATTCAATTATAGTAGGTGCTGGTCAACATAAATAAGGAATGTAATTCAGTGGTTGTTGGTTAATTGTTGTATATCATATTTGTATTTCTTTTATAGTTTTATTGTGCATCAATCTGGCCATTTGTTTTTTTTGTTTGAATTGTTTTACATTTGTCATTTCAGGTCCTTGTATAGCTTGCTATGAGGTATGGGTTTTGCTGATTGTTTAATGCTTATACATGTACAGTGACCTATAGCTGATAACATTTACATCATTTGGTCTCTGGTGAAGAGTTGTCTAATTGGCATTCATACCACATCTTCTGATTTTTGTCCCCCGCGTAACACGTTGCGGAGGACATGGAAAAACCGGGCGTCTGTCCGTCCGTCTGTCTGATGTCCGTCCGTCCAGTCTTGTCAGCACTCTCACAGGTATAATTCTTGCCAGATTTTTATAAAACTTATACTTTAGGTTAATATCAGCAATATCTCAGACAAGTTCTATAATGGTGGCAGATCGACTTTTTTTTAAAGAGTTATGCCCCTTGGAAATATTAAATTTATGGAAAATGGCCTCGTTAGCACTCTCACGGGTACAATTCTTCCCAGATTTTTATAAAACTTATACTATAGGTTAATATCGGCAATATCTCGGACAAGTTCTATAATGGTGGACGGGCCTCGTTTGAGCTCTCACAGGTACAATTTTTTATAAAACTTAAAGAATACTATAAGTAATGCCCTTGAAGGTCTGTTTGAAATATTTCGTATACAATAAAAAAAACTTTTTTGTCCCAGTACTTCATGCTGGCTTACTGCTGAGAGTCTTTGACATTGTATTGTCTATCTATCAAGGGAGTGGGGGTATTGGATGTTAAACATCCTACTTATTGAACTGTCTGGTATTGCATATTTTTTTTCGCTGTGCTTTGGTCATCTGTGATCCACAGATTACAGAGTTCAGTAATTTTTCATGACTCATTTTTATTGTTTCTTTTTCTCTGAGCTTTTGTTATTCCCTAAATAATAAAATCCTGGGCGCAGCTTGATACGACCGCAGAGGTCGAACCCTTAACAGTTGGGGCAAGTATGGACACAACATTCAAGCTTGATACAGCACTGAATTTGGATTGTGATTAAATATTTGACACAGCATAGGTTTCTGACACAGAATGAATGTGGTCTAAGAACTTAAAAAATTTTAATTTACCTATTCAAACCATATCATTATTATTTGCTTATATATATAAATCAGAAATAACCAATTTAAAATGGAAAATTTTAAAGAAAAAAAAAGGAAAAAAAGGGGAAAAAAATCCCTCCCTCACAAATTTTTCGAACCCCTTATGATTCATCACCCCTAAACTCAATCCCAGCCTTCCCTTTGTGGTATGGTACCTTGCAGTACAATTTCAGAGAGATCCATACACTTGAACACAAGTTATTGTCTGGAAACTAGAAAATGCTTATTTTTGGCCCCTTATTCCTAAACGTTTTGTGCAATTATCCTTAAACACAATTCCAGCTTTCCCTTTGTGATATGGAACCTTGTAGTACAATTTCAGAAAGATCCATACACTTACACACAAGTTATTATCATGAAACTAGAAAAATGCTTGTTTTTTGCCCCTTTTTTTGCCCCTAATTCCTAAAATTTTGAGGCAATTACCCCCAAAATAAATCCCAGCATTCCCTTTGTGATATGGAACCTTGTGGTACAATGTCTGAGAGATTCATACACTAACACACAAGTTATGTCTGGAAGTTACAAAAATGCTTATTTTTGGCCCCTTTTTGGCCCCTAATTCCTTAACTGCTGGTACCATAACCCCCAAAATCAATCCCAACCTTCCTTTCGTGGTATTGAACCTTATGGGAAAATTTCATAGAGATCCATTCACTTTAACTAAAGTTAAAGTGCGAAAACCAATGTGTCTTCGGACGACGACGATGACTCCAACGTCATACCAATATAGGACCACAAAATTTTTTTGCGGTCGTATAATAAAAAGGGAATGCGTCCATGGGACACAGATGATGCCCCCGCTTGCATATAATGTTATAAAGGGACATAAGTCAAGATCAGTAAAAGTGACGCTACTCAAATTTGTACTTGATCTGAGTTTTGTGGTAATAAGCATTGTGTATAAGTTTCATAAAATTTGGTTGAAGCAAACTTTAGTTAGAGAACAGAAATGAAAAATTCAGCAATTTTTCCATTTGTAAAGGGGCATAACTCTAGAACGGTAAAAGTGACGCCACCCAAATTCAAACTTGATCTGTGTTTTGTGGTTATAAGCATTGTGTACAAGAGTCATAACATTTGGTTGGGGCAAACTAAAATTAGAGAACGGAAACCAATTTTGGGACGTACGGATAGATGTACAGACAGACAAGGGTAAAACTTAATACCCCCTCCGCTACGGCGTGAAATTAATATAGGTTTTGAGAACTGACAATACACCCCACCACCTGGTAATGTGCCTGTCCCATGAGAACTCACATCACAACCCAATCACATGGTTATGTGCCTGTCCAATGAGAACTCAATTCACAACACCATCACATTGTTAGGTGCCTGTCCCATGAAAACTCACTTCACAACCACATCACATGGTTATGTGCCTGTCCCATGAGAACTCACTTCACAACCTCTTCACATGGTTAGGTGCCTGTCCCATAAGAAATCACTTCACAACCTCATCACATGGTTAGGTGCCTGTCCCATGAGAACTCACTTCACAACCCCATCACATGGTAATGTGCCTGTCCCATGAGAACTCACTTCTCAACCCCATCACATGGTAATGTGCCTTTCCCATGAGAACTCACTTCACAACCCCATCACATGGTTAGGTGCCTATAACCATGAGAACTCACTTCACAACCCCATCACATGGTTAGGTGCCTATAACCATGAGAACTCACTTCACAACCCCATCACATGGTAAGGTGCCTATAACCATGAGAACTCAATTCACAACCCCATCACATGGTTAGGTGCCTATAACCAAGAGAACTCACTTCACAACCCAATCACATGGTTATGTGCCTGTCCAATGAGAACTCAATTCACAACACCATCACATGGTTAGTTGCCTGTCCTATGAAAACTCACTTCACAACCACATCACATGGTTATGTGCCTGTCCCATGAGAACTCACTTCACAACCTCATCACATGGTTATGTGCCTGTCCCATGAGAACTCACTTCACAACCTCATCACATAGTTAGGTGCCTTTCCCATGAGAAATCACTTCACAACCTCATCACATGGTTAGGTGCCTGTCCCATGAGAACTCACTTCACAACCCCATCACATGGTAATGTGCCTGTCCCATGAGAACTCACTTCACAACCCCATCACATGGTAATGTGCCTGTCCCATGAGAACTCACTTCACAACCCCATCACATGGTTAGGTGCCTGTCCCATGAGAACTCACTTCACAACCCCATCACATGGTTAGGTGCCTATAACCATGAGAACTCACTTCACAACCCAATCACATGGTTAGGTGCCTGTCCCATGTCAGGAACCTAATGGTTGATCATATGGATGAAAGGTATTTGTCAGTTTATGGATTTGGTGCCAATAAATTGTTGATAGTTTTCAAAGAGGTAAAGAGGGTTTAAAACTTGGCATATGGTTTTTGCACCTTTTTTTGGTCACTGAGAGTCTTATTTTGACCTTCAAATGTATTGTTTTTATCTATTAAAGTTGTCACATAGATATAGGAAGATGTGGTATGAGTGCCAATGAGACAACTCTCCATCCAAGTAACAATTTATAAAAGTAAACCATTATAGGTCAAGGTACGGCCTTCAACATGGAACATTGGCTCACACCGAACAGCAAGCTATAAAGGGCCCCAAAAAATTACTAGTGTAAAACCATTCAAACGGGAAAATCAACGGTCTAATCTATATAAACAGACGACAAAACTACTGTACATCAGTTTCCTGACTTAGGACAGGTGCAAACATTTGCAGCGGGATTAAACGTTTTAATGGTACCAAACCTTCTCCCTTTTCTGAAAATAGTATAACATCACAACATAGAAAGACACACTATAAAATATCAATTGGAAGGCTTAACTCAATCAAAAAACGTAAATTAACACACAATGAACGAATAAATTTGATCTGTGATACCTGAATGCAAATATATATCTGCTTCAGATCTCTTTTTATCAACTTTTTGTTAAAAAAAACCAAGTCACATGATAATAACATACAAAATTTAAGAATATAAGTTATAAGTCACATGTTCATCAATATAAATATCAACCTGTCCACTTGACTGTAACAGCACAAATCATCAATTTGTAATCAATATTTTTAGAAGTAAAGTGCAGAAAAAAGATTTCATGTGAATCATATTGTACAATTTTCAAGACGCTTATACTCAAAAGTTTAACTCAATGTAGCAAAATCTTGAACAATAACAACAAATTGTCTACTAGTTATTATCATCTGTGCATAATTCAATTAAGTATTAAATAAATGGAGAATGTGTCCATGGGATGACAGATGATGCCCCTGCTTGCATGTAACGTTATAAAGGGACATAACTAGGGAACTGTAAAAGTGACATCACCCAAAATCAAACTTGGTCTGTGTTTTGTGGTAATAAGCATTGTGTATAAATTTCATAACATTTGGTTGAGGCAAACTAAAGTTAAAGGGATACAAAAAACTCAGCATTTTTTTTATTTATAAAGGGGCATTACTCCAGAACGGTAAAAGTGACGCCACTAACTGAGTTTTGTGGTAATAAGTCTCAAATGGCCAGGTTGTAATATTAGTGACTAATTAATGTAGAATGTCTGCAATGTTGTTGCAATTACATGAAGGTTGTAAATTATGCTGAAAAAATTCTTAGTTTCCAGACTGAAAAAATAAGAAAAAATTCCCCAAATAATTCCATGATAGCAGGTGAACAGCTTCAACATATATGTGCAATCTTCCTGTGAAGTTTCAGGGATACAGGTTGAAAACTGTATGAGGAGTTGATTACACAAATAGATACCCACTTTTCCCCACCCAGATATCACCATTACTATAAGCCAGGTTTGGACAGATGCAATGAAGGTTGTTATTACCTACAAAATTTTACAGAAATTCAATATCTTTTAATGCAGTTTAGAAAAGTAATGCAGACAATATGGACATTACAATAAAACTTACCATGACATGCATATCTCTTTTGGCAAAAAAGTTGTGACAAAGCCCAGAAAGCATCCTGCAAGTTTATAATACAAGTATTATACATGTTTATGTCATATAAATTAATTCTACCAATAAACTGATACACTTCATACACTGTGTAAAGGAATACTAGAGACAGGTTACTTAAAAACATGGATATTCTACTATATAGGACAAATAAATACATTCAAAAGCTTGCAATATCAAAACACTTACATTAACTGTACATCAGGCAACAAAAAGCAAATAGTACTGGGTTCACCACAGAATGAAAATCAAGGGTGGGGAAGATATGTCAACAATACTCAGAGGGTGTGTTAAGTTCGTTCGCATCCCTCCTTAGGCATAAGTTTGTCATTATAAAGAAAAAAACTTTTAATACATGTAGTTTTATTTAATTACTTAAGGATGTATTCTTCTGATGTTTCAGGCTCGTTGAAATCTTGTTCGGGAACTATTTCCAAAACATATGATACAAGTGGAAAATATCAATGAATTTAAAAAATATTATAATCAAACTATACTCTGTGAAAAAATTGTATACTTACAATAAGTAGTTTTTGAGAAATAAAATTTTCAAATCTATTAACCAATCCGGTCAGTATCACTGATCAGCCAAAATGTTGAGAAAATGGGTGAGGGGTACAAAAAAATGATTTTACCAAAAATACTCATATCAATATTTTCTTTTCAAAATTCTTAGATATATATTTTTTCAATCATTTATAACAAAGAAGTTGAAGTAATATTCTTTTTGTTCTAAAAAAAAAAGAAGAAAATCCCAAATTTACAAAAATGGACAGCATAGTCAATTTGACATGAAAAAGCAACAAAATTTTATAAAACTTTCTAATATTAACACCAACCTATAGATTTTTAAATTAAATTTATTCAGATGGGTCCACTTCATCTTTAGTGAAAGTATGAAATTTTTTTTATTCCTGAACGGTTTGAGCCATAACCGCCAAAGTCAAACCCAACCTTCCCTTTGTGGTATGGAACCTTGTGGTTCAATTTCATAGAGATCCATAGACTAATACTTAAAGGGGCACTAGCTGTCAAATTCATGTTCACCGATTTGACTCAAATTCTCATATTTGATTTATAACAATGTAAAACATTTATCCAAACTATTAAAAGTCTAAAATAAACAGTTAACAGGACATGGGCATGATAACACGTAGCTTCGTTTCGTGTGTATTTTAGTCTAGATGCCATCTAATTATATATATAATTAACTATCGAGTTGACCTCCAAAGTCATCCGATGACCATATAAGCGATGTAAACATAAATAAAGATATAAATAGATTAAGCGAACTCGTGCTATTGGATTTTTCTAGGTCTGCTTAATTTCATTAAATAGATTAAAAATATATGTTTATCATCATTTTTACCTGTATAAGAATGATTTTTTGTGGATCGGATCAGTCAATCAAATGATTTACCTTTGTTTCACTTTCAATATTGACATTCTTTTCCTTTAAATAACTTTTCACATACAATTCACGTGTTATCCATCTCTAGCTAAGGCGTTAAATTGAAGTTCACATGAATACGGATTCTATAAGGTCGAATTATTCACTTGCAAGTGAATAATTCATCATCAATGTTTCTTAGCTTATTTTGACAAAATTGAACCATACTGGTGGCTAAAAGCGAATAATTATTTCACTATTTCACTTTCATTAATGATTGAACAAAAAAAAATCATATATTAGATTTTTTATGTATCTCGTAGCTAGTGCCCCTTTAAGTAATTGTACATTAACCAGAAAAACCTTGTTTTTTCCCCTTTTTTGCCTCTAATTCCTGAACAGTTTGGGCCATAATCCCCAAAGTCAATCCCAACCTTCCCTTTGAAGTATGGAACCTTGTTGTATAATTTCAGAGAGATCCATACACTTATACACAAGTTATTGTCCTGAAACTAGAAAAATGCCTTTTTTGGCACCTTTTTGACCCCTAATTCCTAAACAGTTGGGACCATAACCCCCAAAATCAATCCCAACCTTCCTTTTGTGGTATTGCTACTTGTGAGTAAATTTCATAGAGATTTATTCACTTATCCTAATGTTATTGTCCTGAAACCAAATGTCTTCGGACGATGACAATGTGATAGCAATATACGAACGCAAATTTTTTGTGGTCATATAAATAAATGGGGAATGTGTCCATGTGACACAGATGATGACCCTGCTTGCATATCATATAAAGGGATAAAACTGAAGATCGTTAAAAGTGACCCTACCCAAATTTGTACTCGATCTGAGTTTTGCGGTAAAAAGTATTATTTGGTAGAGGCAAACTTAAGTTAGAGAACAGAAACGAAAAATTCAGCAACTTTTCCATTTGTAAAGGGGCATAACTCTAGAACAGTTTAAGTGACGCCACCAAAATTCAAACTTGATCTGTTTTTTGTGGTTATAAGCACTGTGTATAAGTTTCATAACATTTGGTTGAGGCAAACTAAAGTTAGAGAACGGAAACAAAAAATTCAGCAATTTTTCCATTTGTAAAGGGCATAACTCTAGAACGGTTACAGTGATGCCACCAATAATCAAACTTGATCTGTGTTTTGTGGTAATAAGCATTTTGTATAAGTTTCATAACATTTGGTAGAAGCAAACTAAAGTTAGAGAACACTACGGCGGGGCATAAAAAAAAACACATTTTTTTTTTTTCTTTTAAACAATTTATAAATATCTTAGAGAAATGAAGGCTTCAGAGCAAATGCAATGCGATTTCGTTATAATTAATATTTCCAAGGGGTATTACTTGTTAAAAATATTTGATCAGCACTTATTTCAAAAGTGTCAAAGACATTGGTGATATAAACCTATGATATAAGTTTAATTAAATTCTGGCAAGAATTGTACACATGAGATTGCTAACAATGCAATTTTCCATATAGTCAATATCTAAGGGGCAAAACTCTTTTAAAAATAATTGATCGGCACTGATTTTTGTTATCGTCCAAGACATTGCTGATATAAACCTATGATATAAGTTTCATAAAAATCTGGCAAAAACTGTACACGTGTGTGAGAGTGCTAACAAGACTGAACTGACAGAGGGATGCCCAGTATTTCTATGTCCCCTGCAACGTGTTACGCAGGGGGGGGGGGGGGGGGGGGGACAATAAGCTGATATTGAAACCAATGACTTATCATTACTTCATCACATTGCTTTAGATTGAGGAAAAACAACAGTTCAACATTTTGTATTTTTTGAATTTTACTTACTTCCTAGTTTGACTACTGTACAACATACAATTTTTTTTTATCAGAAATATTTAGATATGTTTAAAAATTTGTAAAAGTGTTTGTGATCTAAAAGGATGATACATATTCATTTTATTTCCATCTACATTGCCTACATTATTATTCCGTGTATGTTGTATAAGTCATCTGTTAAACCACGCGAGACAAGGTAAATTATAATAAACAGCTGCGCCATGAGCGCATGATACCCCCGTCGTCTTGTGTGTGAATTTTTATGCAATAATCATAAATAGTTTCTGACATACGGCGCGTCATGCTAAAACCCCCCTTTTTTTATACCAAAAACTCAATATCTCTAAAATAAAATTTTGAATCAAAACCAAAAAGTATACAGATCTTTAGATTAATATAACTAAGAAGTGTGTAAAATTTTAAGCAATAATCATTAATCGTTTTTGAGATAAGGCGCGACATGTGAAAACCCCCCTTTTTAAAAAAAAAAAATCAATATCTCTAAAATAAAATTTTGAATCAAAACCAAACAGTATACAGATCTTAAGATTAATATAACTAAGAAGTGTGTAAAATTTTAAGCAATAATCATAAATTGTTTTTGAGATACGGCGTGACATGTGAAAAACCCCTCCCCCCTTTTTTTACAAAATACTCAATAACTCAAAAATAAAATTTTGAATCATCACTAAAAAGTATACAGTTCTTTAGATTAATATAACTAAGAAGTGTGTAAAATTTTAAGCAATAATCATAAATCGATTTTGAGTTACGGCGCGACATGTGAAAAACCCCTCCCCCTTTTTTTACAAAATACTCAATAACTCAAAAACAAAATTTTGAATCATCACCAAAAAGTATACAGATCTTAAGATTAATATAACTAAGAAGTGAGTAAAGTTTTAAGCAATAATCATAAATTGTTTTTGAGATACGGCGCAACATGTGAAAAAAAACACACACCTGTTTTAGTTACTAAGTCCCGTAACTCAAAAAGTTTTAATCTTATTTTCACCAAAAAGTATACAGATCGTTTGACCATCATAAGAAACAACTATGTTAAGTTTCATGAAATTTGGATAAGTCGTTCTCAAGTTACGGTGCGACATGTTTACGCCGGACAGACAGACGGACAGACGACATTTGTATACCATAATACGTCCCGTCAAAATTTTGACGGGCGTATAAAAATCAGCTGTCAATGTAAACATTTCTGGAGACACTGTTCACTCTATCAAATACTAACTAGATTGCTTAATTGCCACTGACATGATAATTGGGTTAGAGGTATTTAGTGAGCCCTGTAGTCTAACCCATGTAATGGCATCCAGTAAATATAACCTGCTTTTCACTTTACAGAACAAGTTTTCAGATCCTATGAACTTATACATTGTTCACTTTTTTTGTCCTACACATATATGAACTAATTGCCACTGGCCTATAAGGTAGCAACTAACAATCCATTAATCAGTCATTTGTGCCCTTCTTTATTATAATCTGTCCATTGAGATTGAGATATAAATAACCAGTACCTCTTCATTTAGATACATAAGCAACAAAGCTGCTATCTCACTCATTCCCTGGCAGTAACCAACCTCTGTATTGTACATGGAGTATGCTGACAGAACATGGAACAGAGCTTGCTGGCTGTAAGTAAACAAATACAGACAATTGTCATTTGAACTGCCAGACACTGCAAAAAATAAATAGCTTTATCTTTGGCTCATCACAAGAAGTTACATATGCATCAGACAGTGAATTTATTTCTCTTCCGCTAAATGAAGATACCCGGTAGTAATTAGACAACCCCAAATAGACAATATAGTTTTTAAAATAAATTGAGGAAAATGAATAGATTTATTACTGTAAGGACCCTGTCCTTTCTACACTTACATTGAAGAATTCATTCCTATTCATTATTTTGTTAATGCATGACCCTACAACACAGTACAAAACAAAACTCAAATAATTAAAACTTAATGAATATAAAAAGAACTCTATTGGAGCTGTCCATAAGAAGAGAGGATAGACAGAATGTGTCGCCACATGATTCAAACTGTGTTTGATGCATATCTTTAATTTGTCCCCACGCTTACCATTGTGCTTTCCAAAAATCCTGGGGAGAACTCTTGATTTTGTGCATTTTTTGGACATAAAAGCTTGAGGAAAACCTTGGCTGCAACCTCGGATCTGAAATGTTCTGTATTCAAAAGGTGCAAATGTTGATATGTAATCAATAGACGTAAATTGTTTTGAACCAGGGATGGCTAGCGGCCAAATAAATTATGCAAAAAACTGATATAAATTATGGAAAATAGGACCAAAACTAACATTACAACACATAACATGGAAAATTAAGGGGTCATAACCACATGTATGTCATTTTTAATGTGAATTTCCAAAAAGAAGTAATTTTGTAATAATAGTAATATCACAACTATTCATACGTGAAATTTGTAGTATTTTGGCCTGATTAACAAAGCACTAGATTCTTAGGTCTATTATTAGCCCTTCTTGAATCTCCTGCTTTTTTTCAGGTAGGCACAGGAAATTTGAAAATTGAAAAATCAATAGTGTGCACCCCTGTCCCAGGTTAGGGGAGGGTTGAACGCTCACAAACATGTTTAACCCAGCCACATTCTTTATGTGCCTGTCCCAAGTCAGGAGCCTGTAGTTCAGTGGTTGTTGTTGGTTCATGTCTGTCATATTTGTTTTTCATAAATTGTTTTGTTATAAATTAGGCCGTTAGTTTTCTCAATTGAATTGTTTCATATTTTTCATGTCAGGGCCTTTTATAGCCGACCATACGGTATGAATTTTTCTCATTGTTGAAGGCCATACGGTTGCCTATAATTGCTTACATCCACTTCATTTGAACTTTGGTGGATAGTTGTCTCATTGGCAATCATACCACATCTCCTTATTTTTATATTATAAACCACACAGTTACTTGACACTGCATTTGCTAAGACTGAACATTATAAACCACAGTTACTTACTTGACACTGTATTTGCTTGGACTGACAATTATAAACCACACAGTAACTTACTTGACACTGCATTATCTTGGACTGTACATTTCAAACCACACAGTTACTTACTTGACGCTGTATCTTTGTCTGTACATTATATGATTTCTGTAAGTACGGTTAATATCTAAGTCTATCTGTCTTATATCTGGGGATTTGGCACGTGCCCTCATCTTCATTTTCTGAAAACAAACATTATAGTTTAATAATTATATTATAAAACACCATCATTATTAGGGCTTACACTTATTTAATAACATCTGATTCAGCCAAGAAGAAATTCCTATTTGTATGTGACGTTCTAATGTTAGTTGCAGCTACAATATTTCTGTTTTGTTGTTTATATACACACATTTGTTTGGTACTGTAATTGTCATTACTTTGGAATCTAACCAGGGCCTTGTTGATAAACAACTTAAGGAAAATCTTTTATTCATTCAAAACCTTAAGAGAAAATCAATTTAAGAAATGTTTATATACAAAAGCAATATGAAAATTGATGGGCACAAAAGTTATCTTGATGATTTGAAAAATATTTTGATAAAGCCAGAGCGAACTACAATAGGAGATAATTCATAATATCTATTAAGGTAGAACCTGTACAGTCTAATTTTGGGAAATGCAACTGTCTGTGTTTGAAATGCTGTTTCATTGTCAACTGCGGCTATACAAAGACAGAGGAGATAATTTTCTTTTATTCTTATTGTCGAAATAAGCACTTTCAGTTTTGCACCAGTAGATGAAAGCTTGTTCTAATACAAATACACTCTGATTTAAATGTATATTTTTGTTTTCAAAGCTCACATTTTAGAATCCTGGACAAGAAAAATCATGAAACAGAGAAATTATGTGAAACCTGTTTATATTTTGTCAATCACCCACAAGTTATGGTATTAATAAATTGCTAACACAGAGATATTTTTGATATTTTGATAGTAAAATGCAACGATTTAAATTAAAATAGCAATACTTTACTTAATTGGGGACAGAGCAAAATAATCTCCATGAAAAATGAGACGTGCCAATGCTTTACAACTTCTTACCAAATATCATTGATTGGTCACGTGGTTCCACCTTAACTGACCTAGTCACAAAATTTTAGAAATTTTTTACGCATCTGTCACAGTGGGAAACAGCATACCTAAATCTTGCTTATTGACTCTGTCAAGGCGAGACAAAAAAGGTGAGATGTGTTATGATTGGTAATAAGACAACCATTTATGTAGTTCATCTCCATTCTTTCTTCAAGTAAACACTTCACACAAACATAAAATAACAGAACCTTTTTTTTTTATTTAGAACACTTAAGATTATGTATAAACTAATCATAGATATGCAAGTATTACACATATACATACATGCATTCTTGTGTGTATGTAAATAAAGTGGTGCTGTCCATTTTTCACTCAAACCTTTTTAAATTTAATCAGATTTGATATTGAACTAAATCACTTATTGCTAAACTTATCTATTTGCAAACTAGTTAAACATGAGAATCAACTTTAAACAAGAATGTGTCCATAGAACATGGATGCCCCACTCACACTATCATTTTCTATGTTCAGTGGACCATGAAATTGGGGTCAAAACTCTAATTTGGCATTAAAATTAGAAAGATCATATCATAGGGAACATGTGTACCAAGTTTCAAGTTGATTGGACTTCAACTTCATCAAAAATTACCTCAACCAAAAACTTTAACCTGAAGCGAGACAGATGGACAAACAAACGGACGCACAGAACGAAAAACATAATGCCCCTCTACCTTCTTAGGTGGGACATAAAAAGTGTAAGGCAAAATATTCTAGCCAAATACATTGCCCAAATTTTAATTTTTTTTATTCAAACAAAAAATTCTGCTTGGTTTTGTTCTGACAGTAATATCATATCTGGTCAAAATTTATAAAATTTGTAAAATCCTGGAAAATATGACTGTTTAAGAACCCTGTTTATACATACTCTATAGACTCCATTTTGTTCAGCTTTGACTTTGTTGATATCTAGTAGTCTTGCCCATATTTCACCTCTCAAACTATCTGGTATTCCTTTGTAAATCCTTCTTGTCATCTGAAAACATTAATCAAACACTCTACATATATGTACAATATCTATGACTAGCTATCATGGATTATATATACGTTCACTCTTCATGAATGTGAATTAATTCATTGAATGGTCTCAATACTTTTATGCTCGACAAATATCTACTATATATAGAAAGACAGTGTTAAATGGATCAACAATGGGTGCCACCATCTTGAATATAGATGCCTCATCTACATACAAAACAAAGAATTAATTTTTCTTTTATCTTGGATATACAACTGCTTCAAACCTTCTCCTATATTATCAACAAGAATGTGTCCATAGTACACGGATGCCCCACTCGCACTATCATTTTCTATGTTCAGTGGACCATGAAATTGGGGTCAAAACTCTAATTTGGCATTAAAATTAGAAAGATCATATCATAGGGAACATGTGTACTAAGTTTCAAGTTGATTGGACTTCAACTACATCAAAAACTATCTTGACCAAAAACTTTAACCTGAAGCGGGACAGGCGGACGAACGGACGCACAGACCGAAAAACATAATGCCCCTCTACTATCGTAGGTGGGGCATAAAAATTCCTATAGAAATCTGTGGTTTGAACAGGAGTGGTCACTAGAATACAACTTTATTCTGACAAAGTCAGGATACTCAAGCTGTAATAGTAGAAATGGAAAAGAGAATAATTTATCTGATTATAGTTTAATGAAATTAATCTTTATTAGAAATGCACAGTAGTTACAGATATTAAAACATTTATAGAGAGACATATTATTCATTACTGTGTCTACCTTCTCTCCAGGATAATATTTTTTCCAGCTTTTCATCATCTTCAGCCATTTCTTGGTTCTCTCTGATTCCACTTCTTTTGCCTATAAATAATTCAATTTGAAATAAGAAAATGAAGTTGTTCATACAATAATAACATGCAAGCATTAATTTAACTTGCTAAAGACAACTAAACCATTGAAAACACTATGACATGGATCATGATTGGTGTAAGTTCAGAAACCACTCACTGAATCAAATCCAATGTTTTAGAAAGTAGCTAAGCATTTGTATTATAAGTTTTATACTAGAAAATTATGGCTGTTGCATAGAAATCATATGTTTGATAACAGAAATCAAGGACATGAAGGATGCAGCTAAGTAACCCAAGAAATCAATAGCCTAGGGAACTTCCTCTCATTATATGTTACCATATATCCAATAATGTTGTAATTTGATATAAAGTATTTGAGTAAGCATCCTGAAGCCAAAAAGATTAACAGATGTCCATTTTTAGTAATTATGACATTGACATTAGACTTAGTGACCTCAATATCAATAGGGGTCCTGGATCTTCCTCTCATTATATGTGACCTTATATCCCCAAGTAATGTTGCAATCTAATATATATTTTGTGTAAGCATCCAGAAACCAAAATAACTGAATGACAGATTGGTCAAACACTGTATACCCATTCTACTTTTCAGCATGGGTGTATAATTAGTCCACCTTTAAGGCACCAAAGAAACAACTCTATTTCAAGGCAGCACCTAAGCAAAAAAATACCAAGCATGTCTGTCAAGATTGTTTAGTTTCAATTTGTTGAGACCTTCTTAGAAATTTTTTTCTACATATTTCATTGTAAAATATGGCTGTGAGGTAGTGGTGATACTGGTTGTCCATTATCACTTAATCAACAACTGTCACAGATTTCTGAGGATGATTTGTCTTCATTCTTTTTATAGGCTAATACTAAATTCCAGCAATACTTGGTTAGTCAAAACTTTTCTACCAGAATTAGTTTTAATTGGTTAATCAGATATCAGTCATATGTGTTTGTATACTATCCACATGACTGGTGGGTGAAAGTCAACAAAGTATCAATACTTGGTCATGTTGGTCAGTATTGTAAAGAACTCTAAGTTAATTATTAATTCTTCATCCCATAATATAATCTAGATTCATTCTTTACTATGTATGAGAATTCTAGGTATAAACAGACAAGCAATTTTACATACTCAATGAATGACATAATGATATGTCTTCCATTACATATACATACAATGTACAAAATTAAGTATACTTTTAGTATTAAGTTATACACAAAGGATATAACTAACCACCAGTATAATGTTTACCTTTATTTCAGCAGCATCTCTTTGGGTTGGTAACCTACTGTCACTGAAATATTCACAGACAACAGATGCAATAAACATATAAAGGTAAAATAGTACAAATTAACATTAGAGCTATAAACAATATATCTTGTTTTGCCCTTAAAAAGTGTTAATTAAAAGCTTGATAAACAAAACTGATTTGAAAACATGTATTGTTTTAAAGCAAAGTTACTTTTACAATCAATATCTAATTATATCAATGAATTTTTCTATTTTATTATTTTTACAATTTTACTGGAAACAGTGTTAGTAACAGTCATGCATACAGTCACTTAATGATACAATTGAAATTGATTGTTTATAAAAATATGGTGTAGTAATCAGACACTAGCATAATAAACAAATAATTTTATGTTCTGTTACAATTTCAATATTGCTTTCATTTTCATCATAAAACTATCATAACAATAGAAAACAGGTTATTTAAATTTCTACTTACTGTATAAATCCATATCTATCTGTTACATGATACACTTCAAATGTTGGGTCCTCCCATGGATCAATTTGTGCTCCTTCTTCTCTTCCCTGTTTAGGAAAATTCATTTATCATGTGTATATACACTGAATTAAATACTGATAATACACTGAATTAATAACAAATATATGTTTCTTCTTTCAGTATGAGTAAAGACAAATAAATTTATGGTTGAAGAATAAAAATATATAAAATGGCACTTTTCTAAATTAGCTTGATAGTGATTGCTCATGATTCCCATACTAATTCTTTTGTAACCATTAGACATTTAAGAGGGGGAAAAAAGTTTTCCTTCAAAATTATTGAAGTTGTCCATTTTAACTGAATTGATTGACATAAAGCAAGATGTAAAATAGAGGCTCTAAAGAGCCTGTGTCACTCACCTGCATCTTCAACAATGGCCACTTTTTAGTAAAAGTCATCATTAAAGGGGAATAACTCTATTAAGAGTTGACTGACAATTTCAGTTATGTTGGCATATTTGTAGATCTTATCCTGGCATCCTGCTGATAACTTTTTCTGTTTAAAGTTTCTATTTATCTATTATAGTTTTCAAGATAATAGGAAAAAAACGTTAAAAATTATCATTAAAGGCAACGACTCCAATAATGAGTCCTGAAGATTTTGAAAAATTGTACCCCCTCACAATTTCTTTTTTACCCCCAACCCTCCAATTTTTTTTTTCACCTAATATGGTGATAATCTCAATTTAAATTTCCAATGGAGTTTGCAACCATAATTACCCAATTAATTACATCATAAAAGTCTTAAAATAGAAAATGACATACATAATCATGGCTAAAATTATTATTCCTTAATCAGCATTTTTAAAAAGTAACTTCTAAAATTAAATTGACAGCTTATCACCTCAAGACAATACAACATTTCTTTATACATAATTTAAAAGCAGTGTAAGGGAGGTAATCCAAACATAACATTGTACTTTTTTTTAATTGTCCATTAACCAGGAAACCCTTGTTTTCCCCCTTTTTTGCCCCTAATTCCATAACTGTTTGAGCCATAACCCCCCAAAGCCAATCCTAACCATCCCTTTGTGGTATGAAAACTTGTGGTATAATTTCAGAGAGATCCATACACCGTTCCACAAATTATTGTCTGGAAACTAGAAAAATGCTTATTTGGGCCCCTTTTTGGCCCCTAATTCCTAAACTGTTCGGACTATAACCCCCAAAATCAATACCAACCTTCCTTTTGTGGTTATAAACCTTGTGTTTAAATTTCATAGATTTCTATTTACATTTACTAAAGGTATTGTCCAGAAACCAAATGTCTTCGATGACACAGACGACAACTTGATACCAATATATGACCGCAAAAATTTTTTGCAGTCGTATAAAAAATAAATTGACAGCTTATCACCTCAAGAGAATACAACATTTCTTTACACATAATTTAAAAGCAGTGTAAGGGAGGTAATTCAAACACAACATTGTACTTAAGTAATTGTCCATTAACCAGGACACCCTCTTTTTTTCTCTCTTTTTTGCCCCTAATTCCTAATCAGTTTGAGCCATAACACCCCAAAGCCAATCCTAACCATCCCTTTGTTGTATGGAAACTAGTGGTATAATTTCAGAGAGATCCATACACTGTTCCACCAGTTATTGTCCGGAAACTAGAACTAGAGGCTCTCAAGAGCCTGTGTCGCTCACCTGTATTTACTGATGCTTTGGAAATCATGTAAAATAAGGTTAAAATCATAATTAATAGTATTAGATATTAGATATTATAATGATATCTAAGATAATAAAAAAAACTGCAAAATTTTTGTAAAATTACTAACTCAGGGGCAGCAACCCAACAACGGGTTGTCGGATTCGTCTGAAAATTTCAGGGCAGATAAATCTAAATCTGATGAACATCTTTGCCACCTGTCAGATTTGCTCTAAATGCTTTAGTTTCAGAGATATAAACCAAAAACTGCATTTTACCCCTATGTTCTATTTTTAACCAAGTCAGCCATGATGGTTGGAAGGCGGGGTCATCGGACAAATTTTTAAACTAGATACCCTAATAATGATTATGGCCAAGTATGGTTAAATTTGTCTCAGTAGTTTCAGAGAAGAAGATTTTTGTAAAAGATAACAAAAATTTACAAAAAGTTGTTAAAAATTGACTATTAAGGGCAATAAATCCTAAAGAGGTCGACTGACAATTTTGGTCATGACAACTTATTTGTAGATCTTACTTTGCTGAACATTATTGCTGTTACAGTTTATCTCTATCTATAATAATATTCAAGATAATAACCAAAAACTGCAAAATTTCCTTAAAATTACCAATTCAGGGGCAGCAACCCAACAACGGGTTGTCAGATTTGTCTGAAAATTTCAGGGCAGATAGATCTTGACCTGATAATCAGTTTTACCCATGTCAGATTTGCTCTAAATGCTTTGGTTTCAGAGATATAAGCCAAAACCTACATTTTACCCCTATGTTCTATTTTTAGCCATGGCAGCCATCTTGGTTGGTTGGCCGGATCACCGGACACATTTTTTAAACTAGATACCCTAATAATGATTGTGGCCAAGTTTGGTCAAATTTGGCCCAGTGGTTTCAGAGGAGAAGATTTTTGTAAAAAGCTAACGACGACAGACGACGACGGACGCCAAGTGATGAGAAAAGCTCACTTGGCCCTTCGGCCAGGTGAGCTAAAAATGCTTATTTGGGCCCATTTTTTGGCCCCTAACTCCTAAACTGTTGAGACCATAACCCCCAAAATCAATCCCAACCTTCCTTTTGTGGTTATAAACCTTGTGTTTAAATTTCATAGATTTCTATTTACTAATACTAAAGTTATTGTCCGGAAACCAAATTTCTTCGGACGACGTGGACGACGACGTGATACCAATATAAACAGCAAAATTTCCTTAAAATTACCAATTCAGGGGCAGCAACCCAACAACGGGTTGTCTGATTCATCTGAAAAATTTCAGGGCAGATAGATCTTAACCTGATGAACATTTTTGCCCAGTCAGATTTGCTCTTGATGCTTTAGTTTCAGAGATATAAGCAAAAAATATGTTCTATTTTTAGCCATGTCTGCCATCTTGATTGGCAGGCGAGGTCGTCAGACATATTTTTTAAACCAGATTCCCAAATGATGATTGTGGCCAAGTTTGATATAATTTGTCTCAGTAGTTTTAGAGGAGAAGATTTTTGTAAAAGTTAACGACAACGATGGACAACCGACGCCAAGTGATGAGAAAAGCTCACTTGGCCTTTTAGGCAAGGTGAGCTAAAAATGGTAAAATTCATCATCTAAGGGCAATAACTCCTACAAGAAGACTCCTGACAGTTTTGACTTAAATGAACAACAGGTAGAGCTTATCATTCCGAACATTTTTGCCCTTGTCAGATTTTCTCTTTTCATAGCGTGTTTCAAAATAATACGCAAAACTTGCATTTTCGCCCTATGTTCTATTTTTCAGCCATGTCAGCCATCTTGGTTGGCAGACAGGGTTATCGGACACATTTTTAAAACTAGATACCCCAATGATGATTGTGGCCAAGTTTGGCTCAGTAGTTTCTTCAGAGAAGATTTTTGTTAAAGTTAACAACTGACGACGGACGCCAAGTGATGAGAAAAGCTCACTTGGCCTTTCGGCCAGGTGAACTAAAAACTATTCATAATAGTGTCTCTAACAAAGTTTTTTTCTATTCTTTAATAAAGTTTAGGATGTCAAATCTCCCTAATAGAGATTTATTTAATATGTTTACCTTGTCATATCTGCCAACGATCTCTGCCCTTTCCCTCTCAGCCTGCCTTATCTGTTCATACTGATCATACACAGGGGACGAGCCTATATACACATATAATAGGAATTCAATATTTTTACAAATGTTTAATGCATAAATTCTTCAAATTTCTTAACTTACTGATTTTCAAAAATCCACAGACATGACATTTTTATTTCCCGTAAAGTTAACTAACACTGACAAAGCGTACGACTGACACGATTTACAACATAGAATAATAGATTTCTTAATTTTTCCATGTATAAATTTAGAAACTATCAAAATAAACTGTTGAAACAGAGATATGACTGGCCTGTAAAATGTTGGAAAAATATGGCAATATTTTAACATGTAAACTATGCAAAACATATATTCAAAGTCAATGAAACATGACTGAAGGTGAAAGGTCAAATGATCTCTGTGGAAATGCTACATGTTGTCTTTTGTTTAAGCCAATTGAATTTTGTATTATTACTGATCTTTCCTTACCATGCTTACTATCTATTTATAATAACACTATATACATACCACTACTCATTCTGTACTCTGGTTATCCTTGATCCATATAATCATAAAACCTAGAAATATAAAAATATCATTTGATAATTACTATCCAGGAAATACATCTAAATTTAGGGATGTATATAAATTATAATAACTGGAATGAACACTCATTTGACACTTGACATGCTTCATCAACTCTTATATGAAATTGACTGAACAGGAAGATTTATATTTACTTTTTTTTTTGTAATTCAGGAAAGTAACAAGTATCTATCATACATAAAACAGGCTTCTCACTAAGAATTGGATACGCCAGGCCACAGGTTCACAACTTTCTTCCATAACAAGTCCTACATTAAGAAGAAAAAAACTATTTTATTGCTAAATTTATAATTTAAGTCTATATGACAAAAAGAACAAGGAAATTACATCAAATTCAAATTACTTTCCTAAAAACTAATAATATCTTGGCTTAGTTCTTGGTTAAAGAATCCACCCTTATTTTTTCTTTTTTTTTACGATTTTAATACTACCATGAGAGGATTGACAAAACTGGTTTCCTTAGAGAAACAGATTACACCACCAAAGCTTGTGCAATAGATATTTATCCACTTTCGACAGTTAAATTTTAAATATTTAAAAAGCTTGGCAAGCCTTGCATTTTAAATTTGAAAATTTAACTGTCTCGAGTGGATAAGTATCGTATCACACTTGATCACTGATGCAGTGGTAGAATCTATATATATATAGATCTTGCTTAGGAATTATTAACATGATTAAAGGCAAGCCAGGTCTGCCAAAATGTTAGTTATTTTCAGATTTCTAACAAAACAGTGACCTAGTTGTTACAGACAAGAAATTATCTGGCCATACAATACCTCCTTGTGTTTCTAAACTACCTATGAATGTATTTTGGATTTTAGATAATAGTAAATACCTAGGGCCATAACCAATAATGTAGTGGCCATCAAATGACTCCAATTTATATTGTTACTTATTAACCAGATATAGACCTGTTCAAAGAATAATTAAAGGAATAAATGAAGTTGTAATATACAACTTTTATTTTAATTTTATTAATGTCCAGTCAGCAATAAGATTTAGTAGACAAAAAATCATTATAATTTTTTTCACAAAAAATGTACCTTTTTACCAACATCTAACATTCCAAGTCTCATTCAAAGATTTTTTTCAATTCATTTCAGTCATTTGTCAGTGACAGTTCCATAAATCTTGGACTATATTCACTATTGTTTACAATGTTATAACAATAAACACTTAAAATTACCATGATTATCATTGACTGAGATTTTTCATTAAGATGCTGGTGCTAACAATTTTAATACCCTAAAATATTTCTCTACCAGACTATAAAGCATTGTTAAGTGTATAAACTGTATAACATGTAGTTCATGTTTTTAGAATTAAAAAAATTAATTTCAGTTTTCACTGAAGATCCTTTGAAAATCAATAGTAAATATAAAAATAAGGAGATGTGGTATGATTGAATACAGTTTCACATTTTTTTGTACATTCTTTCATTTTCAATTACATGACCTATTAACTTATCTGCTGATAATTTTACAATTGACTATATCCATGCATATGTACCATAATTAATAACCCAGATATACTAAGTTTAAATGATGATCAATTCTTATTTCCAAAAAATAACTATAACTTAAATTGATTTTTTCTTACTTTACCTACTTGCTTACAGTCAATAACTCAAATTGATTTTACATGTATCTTTCTTATCCATGTTATCTAATTTAACGTAAAATCACTTAAAACACTCTAAGACAATAAAAGCTGAATCATCAAAGAATCTAGTGTTTCAAGTTGTCAAAGAACTTCACCAAACTATATTTTTAGTGATCTTTAAGCGATGTTAACAATACCCTCTCTCTTTCTGCCTTATTTCTAACTTTCAGTTTATGCATCATGGCAGTAAAAATTATGGAGAGATAAATTGTTGATACAGAGATGTCTTGCCTGTGTGTAATTTCAATAGCAAAATGCATACAGTTTAACCTCAATAAGTGGAAGGGACCCAACATAACTGTTTGACTTATCTGAGGTCGTGATTAACAACATGTTTTCCAATTTCAAAATAGCACCTTGTATCGTCAACCAGGTATTTGATATCAAAAGACATGTTTTATACTCCAGTCTATCTGCAGCAATGTTAAATTTCAACATACAGTCGAACCGCGCTGTATCAAACCTGCCAGCACAACTGAACATTGTTGTTCGTTTTCATCGAAATTGGAAGTGACATACATTTGTACATTGTATCTTAGCCTTGAAGAAACTGCTTAACTATCATGACTATTACACTTGTTAATAAAATGCTCCGCTGGGCGCAGCTTGATACGACTGCAGAGGTGGAACCCTGAACAGTTGGGGCAAGTATGGACACAACATTCAAGCTTGATACAGCACTGAATTTGGATTGTAATTAAATATTTGACACAGCATAGGTTTCTGACACAGAATGAATGTGGTCTAAGAACTTAGAAATTTTTAATTTACCTAATCAAACCATATCATTATTATTTGCTTTTATATATAAATCTGAAATAACCAATTTAAAATGGAAAATTTTAAAGAAAAAAAAGGAAAAAAATATCCCCCCCCCCCAATTTTTTGAACCCCCTTATGATTCATCACCCCCAAACTCAATCCAAGCCTTCCATTTGTGGTATGGTACCTTGGAGTACAATTTCAGAGATCCATACACTTGAACACAAGTTATTGTCTGGAAACTAGAAAAATGCTTGTTTTTTGGCCCCAAATTCCTAAACTTGTAGGGCAATTACCCCCAAACTCAAACCCAGCTTCCCTTTGTGATATTGAACCTTATAGTACAATTTCATAAAGATCCATACACTTACACACAAGTTATTGTCCTGAAACTAGAAAAATGCTTGTTTTTTTTTCCCTTTTTGGCCCCTAATTCCTAAAATTTGGAGGCAATTACCCTCAAAATCAATCCCAGCCTTCCATTTGTGGTATGGTACCTTGCAGTACAATTTCATAAAGATCCATACACTTACACACAAGTTATTGTCCTGAAACTAGAAAAATGCTTGTTTTTTTGCCCCTTATTCCTAAAATTTTGAGGTAATTACCCCCAAAATCAATCCCAGCCTTCCCTTTGTGGTATGGTACCTTGCAGTACAATTTCAGAGAGATCCATACACTTGAACACAAGTTATTGTCTGGAAACTAGAAAAATGCTTATTTTTGGCCCCTTATTCCTTAACGTTTTGGGCAATTACCCCCAAACTCAATTCTAGCTTTCCCTTTGTGATATGGAACCTTGTAGTACAATTTCATAAAGATCCATACACTTACACACAAGTTATTGTCATGAAACTAGAAAAATGTTTGTTTTTTGCCACTTTTTTGGCCCCTAATTCCTAAAATTTGGAGGCAATTATCCCCAAAATCAATCCCAGCATTCCCTGTGTGATATGGAACCTTGTGGTACAATGTCTGAGAGATCCATACACTAACACACAAGTTATGTCTGGAAGTTACAAAAATGCTTATTTTTGGCCCCTAATTCCTTAACTGTTGGTACCATAACCCCCAAAATCAATCTCAACCTTCCTTATGTGTTATTGAACCTTATGGTAAAATTTCATAGAGATCCATTCACTTAAACTAAAGTTAGAGGTATCTGGTATGGGATTGTGAAGTCACTCTTATTGAGAAAATACATGCAAGGTCAATAGATAATATACAATTACTGTCTTTTGATGAGGTAAATATGCGGTTTCATTGACTTTCTAAAAACTGGTATTGACTGAGGCCAACAGCCGAAGCGAATACCAGTTTTTTCAAAAGTCAATTAAACCACATATTTACCAAAAAAAAGACAGTAATTGTTTTATTCCGAGAGAAAACAATGTATTTAATGACAAATATTTACCAAAAGCAATTGTACATCAAACATTTTATGAAAACTTTACATGCATGTGTGTGATGTTTAGCGCGTTTATCTTTTCTCCAGGTGAAAATGCTTTTTTATTCAAAATCTAATTCATATAGAGAAACCTACTAAAATACCAATATGGAATAATCTAATTAAATGAATTATAAGGACAAATTTTGAAGAAAAAAAACCTGTCTGTCAAAATGGTTCATCATTATGAACAGTATCTTAAAAAATCAGAGTTTAAAATATCACAGTTTCTACAAAACTACAAAAGTCAGATTGCTCTTCATCATGTTCATCATTTCATCGAAAATGTTACTTATTTTAATGATCTTTTTTCTCAATATACCGAATGACAGCCGTGAATTTTATGAGTTTTTAAAAAAGATCATTTGAAGATGTAAGTATAAAACTTATACTTCTTTTCGGTTTATATAATAGTAATTGTTTTCAATTGTATTAGAGTATATTCCCTATAATTGCATAATTATGTCTAACAAATAGGCTATGCAAATAACCGGAATCGACTGTACTGAAAATTGACCCCATGATCAACACATATACTGGTCAATCAACTCATAATTTGTTTGCATGACAATAAGAGTGAATCAGTGAGATTCAAATTGTTCAATAATCAAAGAAAGTGAAAGCCATAAATAAGTAAACTTAGCACATACTTACAACTTCTCGTCCAATCAAATTGCTTATATTTTCCTTCTAATTTTCATAGTACATACTTTTCCTGTGTACTAAGTAACTACGCATGAATGACCACAAGGGTAAGATTCATTGTATCGTAATCAAGATATTTAAAACAAAAATTGCCACTGGCTATTTTGAAATAAAATGCTGTGTTCCAAATTAAATTAAATAGTTTGTAATTAGTTTTCACATTGATTTTTAAATATCCTGCTATTAAAATCTTTGGATCTAAAAAATGTTTTTGACAATTGCAAATTTTATCATTTAAATAAAGGGTAAAACATATGGTTCTTTATACCTTGATTAGAGTACAACGATATCTTAAAATTATGATAATGTATCATCCATGCAATTACTTTGTACACAAAAAAGTGTGTACTATGAAACCTTGTGAAGGAAAATTAAAGCAACTTGGTGATAATTTTTTAAGCTTTCTTAAGGAAAGTGATCTATTTCGTCATGAATTGATTGATTTATTGATTATTGGTTGCTTAATGTCCAGTGGCAAATATTTCATGCATGTTCAGGACGATGTCATGAATTGAAAAACTGTGATTATGTCTAAAGATAATGTGCCACCTATATCATGTATATATATATATATAAACATATTCTGATAAATCTTTTAGTTTTTACATTGAACTAATAAAAAAAAAAAACACAAAACCTTTAGTCTCTGATCTATTTGTAGTTGCTTTTTAATGCCTATCTGCTAGACTATATCTTTGGGGACAAACTATCTATATGTTTCAAATTTATTATAGCTTTAGTTTTACTGTGAAATTAAAAAATGTTTTCAAAACATGTAAAGCTTCCACTGCAATTTAATTATTGCCTGCTTTTGGTCAATTTGTTTTGTCATCTTACCTTGTAAGAAGAACATGTATAGTAAAACACCGCTTTATATCAGTTAACATACTTACACCAGCAGCTACCATCTTTTCATTCTGGAGTAATGGGCCTTTTGAAATCACATATTTTACAATGATACTAGTGAGTAGATTTACAAAATTCGTTAATGAGCTCCGTTTTACAAACACCTGTGATACAAGTAGTCAGCCAAAATAAACTATCAATAGACCAATTAAAAGATTACTCGAGTTGTAAATATGTGCTAAATTGGATAGTCTATGGAAAGGTATATACTATGAAATTAAGAGCTCAGGGCAAGCCCCTCGCTCTAAATTTCATAGTATATACCTTTCCATAGACTAACCTAGACTTCATCAGGTGATTAGCATGATTAGTGACACAAGCTTAATTGCATTTAATATTATTACCTGTATTAGTCACCAATATGACCAATATCCATTTTTTTACTGTTACAGCCAAGCATAAAAATATTAACATGACAGTGTTCCAGCTAGGATTTGAAAATAGAGGGGCGCGTTTTTAAAAAAGGGCACTTTAGCGCGTTCTCCTGAAAAAAATCAAATACTTAATATTACCACATAATGACATATTTTTAGCAAGCATGTAGCTAAGTTAAAT